TATTCTAGTATGGTGATATGGAGGTATCAAAGTGTAAAGAATAATTAATATTATAAATCTCAAAGACTAAGCTAAAACAGTATGACGTTTCGGCATTAGGTCTTCATTAGAAAGTAACTACTGCTACTATTAGATAAGATATTGAATTATCTTCTCTTGTACATTTTCTCTTGCCAGTAAAGGATTATCCCTTAATGGCCTTTTAGTTTGTCCTTTAAAGAAATCCGAATTCTTAAAGTAGAATCATTCTTTTAGAACGTACAAAAACAAAACATCAGTCCTAATTGATTTAAGTACAAGGTTATGACGTCACCATTGTAGCTAATGAGTTTAATTAATGAGGCGGTGTTTAACTCAGGATCTTTAATTGGATTATATGATCTCAGATTTTTCTCGCTTCCTCCTTGAAGCTATAAATAGCGACAAAAGTGTGTTTGGCCTAGATTTGTCTTGTACTAAAGGGAGATCAATCTATTGTGGTGTGTTCACATTACATGGACACACCTATTCCAATCAACACATTGAGACGTGTGTCTGTTTATTTGGCTCGTTGAGTCACGGGTAAATAAAAATGTAAACAGAACCGTTATAGTCGCAAAAATGTTGATTATCAGTTACCAATCAAAATGGAACCTACGTTTACATGTAGTCTATGATAAAATAAGTAAAGTAAATCCCGCTAAGCCTATGGCTCTACATAAATAACTTGTCGACCAACACCATTTAAAACTACACCAATTAAAACTACACTACATAAAACTGCACCACAAAAAACTACACCTCTTACTACTGCACTACTTAAAACTAGACCACTTTAAACTACACCAGTTAAAACTACACCACATAAAACTACACCACAAAAAACTACACCACTTAAAAACTACACCACTTTAAACTACACCACTTAAAAGTAGACCACTTTAAATTTCATCACTTAAAATTACACCACTTTAAATTAGACCACTTAAAACTAGAACAATTAAAAACTACACCACTAATTACTGCACCACTTAAAGCTACACCACTTTGAACTACACCACTAATTATACAAATTAAACTCCCACCACCAGTCTTGGTCTGAGACCTACCAATCAGATTGTCTGTTCTCTGTTGTTATATTTTCCTCTACTTCTCCTAATTATACTAGTTTGGTTTAATGTCTCAATGGCTCCAGTTAATATTATTAGTTGTCTCCCTTGGACAAAGTGACTAGAAAAATGCGCATCGGATAATTTGAATATTTTTTTTTTCAGACCGATAATGCACGGGCATTAGCAAAGAATGACTAGCGGAAAAAATGTACCTTAATAAAACACTTTCCACTAAATATGAACAAATGAAACTATTAGTTTAGTGGGTTTGTATCTGCTAATTTTTCTCTTCGAGGAATTTTCAAATACGCATTTTTTTTACTGCGCAACATGAGGTTGCGGCAGCAAAAATTATTTGAGATGTGTGATTGCTTATTTATTAAAATATAAAAAAACCGTTCACATTTTACGTGAATGTATTTTTATTTTGGAGATGTGAGGCATAAAAAAAATTGAAATTTTACAATGTCAAGGAAACATAAAAACATCTGAAGGACGTGTCTGGAAATGGAGATAATTGGTAATAATTAAGGGTCAGGGAAGGAAAGGGGGTGGGGGTGGTGGCTAGCATTGTGTTTTCCCCACACAAAAAAAAAACACCTAAAACAAACAGCAACAAGTAGTATTAGATATTGTTATGTCTCCATAAAAGAACTGGATTTTTTTTCAAGCAATGTTGTAAAAACGTTTTCTGTGTTATGTATAACTGTATGTATGCATATGTGTCTTTATGTATGTATGTGTATAAGAGTACGAAAAGGCTGCATATACTCATATTATGAGTTTTTGTGTATGTTTTCCATATTAGCTTTTTCTGCATTTAATCAGGGTTTTTTTTTCGTATTTGTCAGCAACATGTGTCCGTCTGATCAATAATGGCTCACGTCGGCAAGACACCCCCCCTCCCCCCGACCCTGATTATTTATTCCTCTTGAATGAAAAAAATGTTTCATTGAAACGTCGCGACACCAAGATGAAATGAAAGCTGACAATAAGCCAGATGTAGGCTCGAGTGTGGCTTGGCTATAGGGATTGTGTGGGTTAGCTGCAGCCATTGTGTGGGTTAGCTGCAGCCATTGTGTGGGTTAGCTGCAGTCATTGTGTGGGTTAGCTGCAGCCATTGTGTGGGTTAGCTGCAGCCATTGTGTGGGTTAGCTGCAGCCATTGTGTGGGTTAGCTGCAGCCATTGTGTGGGTTCGCTGCAGCCATTGTGTGGGTTAGCTACAGATATTGTGTGGGTTAGCTGCAGCCATTGTGTGGGTTAGCTACAGACATTGTGTGGGTTAGCTGCAGCCATTGTGTGGGTTAGCTGCAGCCATTGTGTGGGTGTTAGCTGCAGACATTGTGTGGGTTAGCTGCAGCCATTGTGTGGGTGTTAGCTGCAACCTATGTGTGGGTTAGCTGCAGCCATTGTGTGGGTTAGCTGCAGCCATTGTGTGGGTTAGCTGCAGCCACTGTGTGGGTTAGCTGCAGCCATTGTGTGGGTGTTAGCTGCAGCCATTGTGTGGGTGTTAGCTGCAGCCATTGTGTGGGTTAGCTGCAGCCATTGTGTGGGTTAGCTGCAGCCATTGTGTGGGTTAGCTGCAGCCATTGTGTGGGTTAGCTGCAGCCATTGTGTGGGTTAGCTGCAGCCATTGTGTGGGTTAGCTGCAGCCATTGTGTGGGTTAGCTGCAGCCATTGTGTGGGTTAGCTGCAGCCACTGTGTGGGTTAGTTAGATCTAGCTGCAGCCATTGTGTGGCTTAGCTGCAGCCATTGTGTGGGTTAGCTGCAGCCATTGTGTGGGTTAGCTGCAGCCATTGTGTGGGTTAGCTGCAGCCATTGTGTGGGTTAGCTGCAGCCATTGTGTGGGTTAGCTGCAGCCATTGTGTGGGTTAGCTGCAGCCATTGTGTGGGTTAGCTGCAGGCATTGTGTGGGTTAGCTGCAGCCATTGTGTGGGTTAGCTGCAGCCATTGTGTGGGTTAGCTGCAGCCACTGTGTGGGTTAGCTGCAGGCATTGTGTGGGTTAGCTGCAACCATTGTGTGGGTTAGCTGCAGCCATTGTGTGGGTTAGCTGCAGCCATTGTGTGGGTTAGCTGCAGCCATTGTGTGGGTTAGCTGCAGCCATTGTGTGGGTTAGTTAGATCTAGCTACAGCCATTGTGTGGGTTAGCTGCAGCCATTGTGTGGGTTAGCTGCAGCCATTGTGTGGGTTAGCTGCAGCCATTGTGTGGGTGTTAGCTGCAGCCATTGTGTGGATTAGTTGCAGCCATTGTGTAGGTTAGCTGCAGCCATTGTATTTGTTAGTTAGATCTAGCTGCAGGGATTGTGTGGGATAGTTAGACCATACTGTAGGCCAGACGTTTTATATAGGATAGTAAAGAACAGCGAAATTTTTCACAAGAAGATAAAAAACAAAATCAACACTAAAAATAAAGCAGTCAGTCTTCACACTTACAATGTGTTACTAATAAGATTTCGGACTGTTTATTCTATTGTTTGTTAGCAGCTAAACATTTCTCACAACTGAAGGTCAAGTACTGTACAAAACAAGTCCAGTGAGGGCTTTTGATTCCACAACCCGCACGTAGAAGGCGTTCGTAACTCGAAACAAATGTACCGTTACGCTTTCTGATTGTAATGCGATGTCGACGCCATCTAAAATAATCTCCAACCTTGACCACTGCATGATGTTAAAACACAAAGTATCGACGATGCATACACGCCACACGGCTTAATACCGTGGTGATTATCGGTGATTAGTGCGATAATTCGCACAGCATCAGCACGGGAGGCAACTTAGTTAATACCGGTATTACGTGTAAGGATGTCCGAGTTGTTGTTCCTGGTTGTTGAAGCCTAGCCTGCCGGCTTAGATTAACATCACGCGTCAGTGCCGTGGGCTCACTTTGTTCTTGTGCGTCAACTCTGTTTACTGAGTTACTGCATGGTCGGCAACAAAGTGGTCTAGCACTAGGGTAGATGAGCTAATGTGTGTATGTATAACTGTGTCGAATGCTCGAAGGCATATATGCGTATCTGTGTCTATATCTAGTTATGTGTTTGATCGAAGTTGCAATGTTTAAGTATTTGATTTGAAACTTAATTAAAGTTTGTGGTTGCACTACATTACTATGTAGCCTACCTTGTGCTGCCTTTTGTAAGGCTTAAAATAAATTTTAATAATAATTACAACTTTGACAGAATACACAAATTACAAACATTTTAAAAATTGGTATAAATTTGGTGAATTGTGGTTAAAAAAATATTTTGTAGCCTTTGAATTTACTTTGTCGTTGGTTTGAAGCAGTAATGTAGCGGATTCCTTTATTGATACTTAGATAAACATTTTGGTAAATTAAACCCATGGGACTCCGGCTAGTTGTTTATTGGGTAACGCCGCCAGTATTAAAAAGCCCGATGGCGGCTCTCTCGTACGTTCGCACACGACGTCATCACATCCGGGTTGCTGGGGCAGGCGGGCGGTATAAAGAGGCGTTGTCCCCACGTCAACGCCAACATAGCCCGTCACCGCCGCGCTAAACTCCAGATCCAATCTCTAGCACTATGGCCTCCGAGGTAAATAGATCAAATATTCAAAAAAAAAATTGTATTGTTGAACTATAAAGAAAAATATTGGCTCGAATTTTTTGTGTTATATTTACAATCTAATTATGTCTATTGTTGTGCAAAAGTTTAACTTATTTAGTAAGTTTTGATTTTTAATTTTCCCGGCGCATTTTGAGCATCATTTAGGACTTGAAGATTATCTCTACCATTTCATTCTCAGCTTGTATTATTTGCTTTAGCTCTACTTAGTCTTCATATTTTAGAAAAGTTCCATGTAAACGTAAATGACGGCATCCCCCCCTCCCCCTCATAACTTAACAATCAGTTCTGCTACAACTGTTTATTGTCTCCTCTATTTCAGGTAGTACCAAAAGACTACAAAACCATGGCCGCCCTTTCGAAAGCCATTTCAAAAAACGTCCTGTTCTCACACCTGGACGATAACGAAAGAAGGTAAGATGCATTTCATTAACCTACATCATTAATTAGGTTTCTATTGTAAAACACATGGAAACATTTACATGTCAAGTTTGAAATGTGTCCAGGGTAGTTTTCCTTTACGTCCCTGTCACCTGATGCCCGTATTATCTGCCTTCTTCCCGGTGCCCGTAATATCTGCCCTCTTATCAATGCCCATGATATCTGCCCTCTTCCTAATACCCATACCATCTGCCCTCTCTGCCCATACCATTAGTGCCTGTAACATCTGCCCTGTTCCTAGTGCCCATAACATGTGCCATATCATTAGCGCCCATACAATCTGCCCTCTCACAGTGCCCTTAACATCTGCCTTCTTCCTAGTATCCCAAACATCTGCCTCCTCATTCTCTCATTACTGCCAATAACACCGCCCCGTTTTTCCTCCTTAAGCTGATTACACCTTAGGCTGACAGTGAGACGGCTTAAGTCCGACCCCCGGGGACTTGTTACAAGTGGGGGGTGTCGCCTATAGCCCAGCACTTTTATACAGTAAACATCTAAAAAAAACATTAAATTGTTTACATAGCGGCGTGGTCAGAGTGGTACGACCATATCCAACTTGAAACCATTTGCAATACCGTGGTGCCTTTTTTCGAAACTTTTATTGATACATTTAGAAAACCATAAGAAACAACGATAGTTATTAATAAACCCAATCAATGAGGTTTAAAGATGGCGACCATCCCCAGTTCACGTCATATACCAGTTGGTCAATCAAGGTGCCCAGAAAATGGAAAATGACCAGTGACTTTTTTTCCTGATTCTATCGAGTCGTTGCAGCTTTCGAAGTTTGACACATCTAAGCCATTTTTTAAAATAATCGTACAACATCTGCTCAAACGTGGAGTAGAGGAATTCCAATATAGTCAGCCAGCGAATCTCTAGTGGGAAGGCGTGGCCTAGCGGTAGAGCGCTATACTGCTAGCTTGGAAATCGCAAGTTCGAATCCGCTTTTCAGTCACTAGTAAAACGTCCCATCTCGATGGACTTACCCAGTGCTTCGTCAGGTTCGAAAAAGGAACTTTCCATTTTTTTACTTACCCAGTGCTTCGTCAGGTTCGATAAAGGAACTTTCCATTTTTTTTTACTTATTGCCAGCGCATCTCTTAGCCCTGGGTCCAGCATTCGGGTAGGGTATCAGAACAGCGCTAGTCACAGTGTAGAAATATTAGCTTTTTGAAATCGTTGATGTTACAGCTTACCAAATGACCGTCTCTATCATCACTATATGAAATGATGTCCACGTTACTATAATTTTTTTTGGTGTTAAATAAATAAATAAATAAATAAATTGGCCAGTTCGAACCCGTTTTGTCTTGAATGGACAACAAGCAGTAAGCAGTAACTGGTGGACTACTGATAAGGTAGAGGCCGATTAGGGTTGTTCACCATGCAAGAAATTTGACGCTTTTTTTGTACTATCCGAGTTTTAAAAATACTTTACATTTTTATACATTTTGAAACATTTAAGCTAGTAAATAAAATATGTACCCTACACATCTTTCTAATAACAAGCGCACGGAAACAAGTAAAAAAAAAAGATAAGCGAGACATCTTTTAAAATATAATTTAGTTTTAGTTATCACCCAAATGCTTTTTATAAGGGATGTTATAAAAAGAAAAACAACAACAACCAAACTACTGGAATCACAACATACTACTCTAGTAGATACTAATCTGTCCTTTACTTTCGTCTATCTTATCCATATCGTCCAATAACACAACTCTGACATAACCCTACTGATCGCAAACACTAGTTATTTCCCATTTTCATCTTTAAAAAAATATATCTTCTTTTCAATACCTCCCATATTTTCTTCATTGCTTCCCATATTTTCTTCAAGACCTCCCATATTTTCTTCAAGGCCTTTCATATTTTCTTCAAGGCCTCCCATATTTTCTTCAAGACCTCCATATTTTCTTCATTGTCTCCCATATTTTCTTCATCGCCTCCCATATTTTCGTCAAGACCTCCCATATTTTCTTCAAGACCTCCCATCTTTTCTTCATTGCTTCCCATATTTTCTTCAAGGCCTCCCATATTTTCTTCAAGACCTCCCATATTTTCTTCAAGACCTCCCATATTTTCTTCAAGACCTCCCATATTTTCTTCAAGACCTCCCATATTTTCTTCATTGCTTCCCATATTTTCTTCAAGGCCTCCCATATTTTCTTCAAGGCCTCCCATATTTTCTTCAAGGCCTCCCATATTTTCTTCAAGACCTCCCATATTTTCTTCAAGACCTCCCATATTTTCTTCAAGACCTCCCATATTTTCTTCAAGACCTCCCATATTTTCTTCATTGCTTCCCATATTTTCTTCAAGGCCTCCCATATTTTCTTCAAGGCCTCCCATATTTTCTTCAAGGCCTCCCATATTTTCTTCAAGACCTCCCATATTTTCTTCAAGGCCTCCCATCTTTTCTTTATTGCCTCCCATCGGTTGAAGCTTCCCTTCATACTTTTTGTTTTTCCCAACCCCCATCGCTTCATCTTGTTACAAAATCAATATTTAATTATTGTCTAAAACATCTCAATAAAGAATATAATTTTACAAGATTCACATAACCAGAACAAAAAAAAAAAGATTCTTAAAAATTCTTCAGATAAAAATTTGAAATATTTAAAAAATGTAACGGTCTGACTTCCGGCTTGGCCTGCTGTAACCGGAAGCCGGTTGTGAAACATGTTGACACGCCGGCAACGTTTGATCAACCCGGCATGCCTTTGCATAAGGTTTAACGTGTGGTGAGCCACGCCGTGTGGTGAGCCGCATGCTGATGCTGTGGTGGCCACGGCCCTCCTCAGATTTGTCTTCATCTCCCCTTCATATTTTGTGTGTACCCGAAACCTCGCCCATCCCCCCTCGGCCTTGAAGCATCCCCCCTCCCCTTTGTTGTGAAACCTTCCTCTCACGTCCTTGAAGCACCCCCTCCCCCCTGTTTTTGAAACCTTCCCTCACGGCAATGAAGCACCAGCCCCCTCCCGCCCCTCCCACCACTGCTAATTAAGGGCTATCTTGTAATGGATTTTAACAAAGCTTAAATTTCTGTCTTACGAGGCTCGGGTATAATATATTATGTTCGATTTAGACATGCATTCGATGTAAAAAAAAAATATTTAATAAACGCTAATTGCAAGCCAAAATATACTTTGAATATATAATAAGTCATTTTCTAGATTTACTTGTTTGTTCAAATTTTCCCAGACTTTGTTTCATTGAAATTACGAGAAAGACGTACTTATTTTTATTTAAATACTTTAATTAGTTAATGGTACTGGAATGTGTATATATATTGTTACGCACCCCCTTCTCTAATCCTTTCGAACTAGTCAGGGGATCGTAAACAAGAAGAAGAAAAATAAAAATAAATAAATGCCAACTTCAGTAATCTCGATTTATTCGCCACAAAATACAACATCTAACATTAACCCGCCACCACATGGAACACAATAGGAAAAATACACAACTATCTACAACAACTAAAGTACTTAGTATGACTACCCTACTTGTCCCTAACCGTCTAGCCTAGCCTAAGTCTAAAACATGTCGTGGCTTTCCACTAGCTCACAGAGACGACCCCATGTCTGTCTCCCCTAAACCTAGCTATCCGAGACGTCCGTCCGTCTCCGTGTGTGTGTCCCGAGTGTCCAGTCGAGAGTGTCTGTCGAGAGTGTGTGCCCCTAGTCTCCGGTCTACCCTCCTAAAGTACTCAAGTCGTCCCTCGCTAGTGTGGGAACCTTGTTAATCGAGCCTGACCCTAAGGTCAGGTCAGGTCAGGACATGACCGTCCATCTCGGCCCTGTGCGAACTGGAAGGTTTTCCCAGCCGTAAAACACGGACCGTCACTAGCCTAGATCAAGCATCAACGGTCAGCCCGTGGTGTCACCTGGTAATTTATGGGCTGTTGGCCACGTTAATAGCCGAGTCCCCCAAGTCTCCAAGTCTGCCACGCCCACAGCGTAATCTAATCCGGTGTGGCCATCAAAACCCCCAGACTCTCACGGCCTATGCTGACCAGTGCATTAACATGCCTAAGCATTTCATTTTAATTACCTGGCCCTCCTCGATGGGACCAAACCCAGGTAAAGTTCACTTGGGGTCGTAACACCCCCACCCTTCAAGAAATTAATTCGCCACCACATGGTGAATTAATTGAACATCTCTTACTAGACAACCATACCAATCTCACAATTCCTCAAAAGTTCCAGAATAAACCTAAATGGGACTAAATCCATTTAACATAATCATTACTAAAAAGATAAGAAACGTGGATGATTTAGTCACAATAACAAGTTTGACTAAATACCCCAAACACAATGTCATCAAACATAGACATCAAAGTAAATAAAACAGCAAATCTGCAACACATGTGTCACTGTCGCCAATAATGCTAAGATTGAAAACCAACAGTCTTCGTTTTACTGATAGTTACGTCATCAGTCAACAAAACTTGTCAATACAATTAAAAACTGTCACGAATTCAACAGCATGTAAAACATCAATAACAAATTTTTTTTTCAAACAAGGCATGTATAAGGGTACATTCTTTAAGCCTGAAAACAGTTCATTTTGATTAGAACACTTGCATCCTGGGAAAACATGAAACAGTCAATATAGGAAACAGTTCTATAACAGGCTTGAAACTCAAAGGTACACATTGTCCTTATGTTTCCGTCTTGCGGGTCATCATGAGTTCGTAAATATAAATCTTTAGCCGAACTTTATAACGTCGCAGCACAATTTTAGTGACGGAGATATTATCCGCCCACAACAAATACACCGAGCCGCACAAAGAGAGGTCGATTTCACGCCCCGTCTCTGTGAAAGTGAGGTGATATGCGCTCACATGTACACATTCTCGGTTGACGGGAGAAGTGTGACCCGCTGAGGTCACATTACCGATCTTCCCCGGGTCGGTCAAAGAACAATAAATCAGCTCCGAGATAAGGGGAGGGAAGCCTGAGTTAGG